CATGGCAAACGCCTCTCCCTTTTATCATGTTCTTTCTTCCCTCTTGGCTTTGCCATCCCCCTTCAGAGTCAGGTGAGCATTATTTCATTGCCCTCCCAAACTGACTAAAGTAAGGGGGGTGACTCACTCGAGAGTCCAACAGATCCTTTGTTGCTGCGTAGGCCAGTGTCCTTTGTTCCTATGAGGCTGAGCTGGGTTTGTCCCATACATGCCCTGATGGGGTGTGAACTGCCCCTCTGCTCTTGGACAGTTTTGCCTGGGCATGTTTTAAACCATGAGGCCACATTTTCAGCCTCATAACTATATACATGAAATTACAACCTTACACATTACATCACTATAACAACAATGCTCAGTGCATCATGAGCCTTCCAAAGACACCCAACATGACAACCTTTGCATTGGATACGACACAATCCTTTTATAAGGATGAACATATCATAGAATCATAGAATCATAGAATATAAGGGTTGGAAGGGACCCCAGAAGGTCATCTAGTCCAACCCCCTGCTCGAAGCAGGACCAATTCCCAGTTAAATCATCCCAGCCAGGGCTTTGTCAAGCCTGACCTTAAAAACCTCTAAGGAAGGAGATTCTACCACCTCCCTAGGTAACGCATTCCAGAGTTTCACCACCCTCTTAGTGAAAAAGTTTTTCCTAATATCCAATCTAAACCTCCCCCACTGCAGCTTGAGACCATTACTCCTCGTTCTGTCATCTGATACCATTGAGAACAGTCTAGAGCCATCCTCTTTGGAACCCCCTTTCAGGTAGTTGAAAGCAGCTATCAAATCCCCCCTCATTCTTCTCTTCTGCAGGCTAAACAATCCCATCTCCCTCAGCCTCTCCTCATAACTCATGTGTTCCAGACCCCTAATCATTTTTGTTGCCCTTCGCTGGACTCTCTCCAATTTATCCACATCCTTCTTGAAGTGTGGGGCCCAAAACTGGACACAGTACTCCAGATGAGGCCTCACCAATCTCGAATACAGGGGGACGATCACGTCCCTCGATCTGCTCGCTATGCCCCTACTTATACATCCCAAAATGCCATTGGCCTTCTTGGCAACAAGGGCACACTGCTGACTCATATCCAGCTTCTCGTCCACTGTCACCCCTAGGTCCTTTTCCGCAGAACTGCTGCCTAGCCATTCGGTCCCTAGTCTGTAGCTGTGCATTGGGTTCTTCCGTCCTAAGTGCAGGACCCTGCACTTATCCTTATTGAACCTCATCAGATTTCTTTTGGCCCAATCCTCCAATTTGTCTAGGTCCTTCTGTATCCTATCCCTCCCCTCCAGCGTATCTACCACTCCTCCCTGTTTAGTATCATCCGCAAATTTGCTGAGAGTGCAATCCACACCATCCTCCAGATCATTTATGAAGATATTGAACAAAACCGGCCCCAGGACCGACCCTTGGGGCACTCCACTTGATACCGGCTGCCAACTAGACATGGAGCCATTGATAACTACCCATTGAGCCCTACAATCTAGCCAGCTTTCTACCCACCTTGTAGTGCATTCATCCAGCCCATACTTCCTTAACTTGCTGACAAGAATACTGTGGGAGACCGTGTCAAAAGCTTTGCTAAAGTCAAGAAACAATACATCCACTGCTTTCCCTTCATCCACAGAACCAGTAATCTCATCATAGAAGGCGATTAGATTAGTCAGGCATGACCTTCCCTTGGTGAATCCATGCTGGCTGTTCCTGATCACTTTCCTCTCATGCAAGTGCTTCAGGATTGATTCTTTGAGGATCTGCTCCATGATTTTTCCAGGGACTGAAGTGAGGCTGACTGGCCTGTAGTTCCCAGGATCCTCCTTCTTCCCTTTTTTAAAGATTGGCACTACATTAGCCTTTTTCCAGTCATCCGGGACTTCCCCGGTTCGCCACGAGTTTTCAAAGATAATGGCCAATGGCTCTGCAATCACAGCCGCCAGTTCCTTCAGCACTCTCGGATGCAACTCATATGGGTGTAAGGTGTTCCCCTGAGGTACAGAACCTCACAGTGGGCTAAAAACACTTCCACACACGGGCTGAGGACAGACAAGTTCTCCCACAATACATTACAAAACAGTTCAGAGTGTGGCTTGGTTTAAAAATAGCCAGTTATGGGGAGTCTGCCACAATGATTGGCTGTTAAAAATGTGTGCCTTATTTCCAGTCTGAATTTGTCTGGCTCCAAATTCCAAAGATTGGATCTTGTTAGACGTTTGCCTGCTAGATAGAAGAGCCCATTATAAAATTTCTGCTTCGAAGCAGGTACTTAGAAACTATGATCAAGTCACCCTTTAACCTTCTCTTTGATAAGCTTAATAGACACAGCTCCTTAAGTCTCACTGTAAGGCAGATTTTCCAATCCTTTCATCATTCTGGCAGCTCTTCTCTGAATCTCTCCAATGTTTCTATGTCCTCTTGAACTGTGGGCACCAGAACTGGACACAGGATTCCAGCCGCAGTCACACCAGTGCCAAACACAGAGGTGAAATACCCTCTCTGCTCCTCCTCAAGGTTCCCCTGTTTATACATCAAAAGATCACATTAGGCCTTTTGGCACAGTGTCACATTGGCAGCTCATGCTCAGCTGATTGTCCAAGATGATCTCCATGCTGATGTGGCCTCAGCTAAAGTATTGTGTCTAAGTCGGGGCGCCACATTTCGGGAAGGATGTGGACAAATTGGAGAAGGTCCAGAGGAGAGTAACAAAAATGATTAAAGGTCTAGAACAGGGGTTCTCAACCTTTTTCTTTCTGAGGCCACCCACAACATGCCATTAAAATCTCCAGGGCCCAGTGTGGGAGGGGGAGGCTCTGGGCCGGGGAAAGGGGGGAAAACAAGTTTGCATAGGTATAGTTTGACTTCTGTTTTGGGTGGGCAGGGGCCAGTGAGGCTCAAGCCAGCTCCGACGTCGGGGTCTGGGAAGGGTATGCTACATCCACCCCTGACTCACCTCAGCAGGCCACCCGCCTGTCTGGACTTGGGGGGGGGCCTACAACCAAAAATTATAACTCAAAGGTGGGGGGGCTGAGCTCAAAAAGTTTGAGGTGCAGGGAGAGGGATAGCTAGGGGCTGTGTGCAGGGGGGTAGCTCAGGGTGCAGGGAGGGAGGTAGCTAGGGGGGGGGAGGGGGGGGGAGAGGGTAGCTCAGGGTGCAGGGAGGAGGAAGCTAGGGGCTGTGTGTGGGCAGAGGGTAGCTCAGGGTGCAGGGAGGAGGTAGCTAGGGGCTGTGTGCAGGGGGGTAGCTCAGAGTGCAGGGAGGAGGTAGCTAGGGGCTGTGTGTGGGCAGAGGGTAGCTCAGGGTGCAGGGAGGAGGAAGCTAGGGGCTGTGTGCTCTCAGGGCTCCCCTGCGCTCCCTGTACCCTGAGGGCTCTGCCAGCCACAAAGCAGCCGGATCCCCCCGCCCAGGCAGCTCTTACCAGCTGCATGAGCAAAGGGGAGCAGCTTCAACCCCCTGCAGCAGCAGGAGACGAGGCAACGCTGCGGCTGCCTGCTCCATGGCACCAGTCAGAGCAGCAGCTGTCCCACGCTGCCGGACTCTGGCTTCCCACCTCCGACCTAGCCAGGGGGTGGAGAGAGGAGGTGGTGGAGGGGGGGTGTGGAGCTACCCCAGGACTGCCCTGCTCTTGCACTGTAGTTTGGGAGGGGTGTAACACCCCTGTGTTCCCCCAACTCTGCCCATGGGCTCAGGGCTTCTGTCCCTTGGGGAGCACCGGGGCTCGGGGCTCCAGAATTCAGCCCTGCTGCTCCCGGCTTCAGCCCTGCGGGAGGTGCTGGGGTTCGGGCTTTGGATTTTAGCCACGGGGCCCTGCGGCCCCCCTGAAAGGGTTCATGGACCCCCAGTGGGCCACGAACCCCCTGTTGAGAACCGCTGGTCTAGAAAACATGATCTACGAGAAAAGGTTGAAAGAACTGGGTTTGTTTAGTCTGGAGAAGAGAAGGATGAGAGGGGACATGAGAACAGTTTTCAAGTACATAAAAGGTTGTTAGAAGGAGGAGGGAGAAAAATTGTTCTTGTGAATCTCTGAGGACAGGACAAGAAGCAATGGGCTGAAATTGCAGCGAGGGAGGTTTAGGTCGGACGTTAGGAAAAACTTCCTGCCAGCATAGTTAAGCACTGGAACAAATTACCTAGGGAGGTTGTGGAATCTCTGTCATTGTAGGTTCTTAGCAGGATCGACAGTCACCGCTCAGGGATGGTCTAGATGAGGGGTAGTCAATTATTTTTTGTCAAGGTCCAAATTCTTCATCAATGTACAGTCGGGGCCAGACTGCAGAGAAAATCATTTTAAAAAATAATAATAACGATAATATGTAAATAAAAAGTTTGTGGGGTCCGTTCAAAAGCGTCTGGCAACCCGGATTTGGCCCGTGGTTCGCCTGTTGACAGCCCCTGGTCTAGATAATACAGGAGAATTACGGAGACCTCGGGAATGGAGGTTGTTCGTAACTTTGCCCAAGCCGTTATGGGCTGCTCCTCAGGGCGGAGTGCTCGGAACGGGGGCTCACACTCTGCAGCGGCTGCCCGGCAAGTTTCTGATTCTCGCCCCCTGACTGCAAGGGTGATGCGTGAGGCACCCGGGGGCGCTTTGGCACCAGTGGGTGCGCAGTGCAGGCCGGGGCCCTTTCAAACGCAGCCGCTCCTCCAGAGCGCGGCAGGCGGGCAGGAGTTCGGGCTCCAGCAGCTGACGCTCTCGGCCAGGTTCCAGCAGCAGCTCAGGGAGCTTCTTTCCTGGACTGAGACTAAGGTTGCAGGCTTGTCCCCCTCCCAGCCAGAGGCGGGAAACAGCCCCTGTGGCTAGTGCCGACCCCAGCACTCCTTCTCGGGAGCTCACAGCTGTGCCTGTGAACCTCAGCGTCTTCACCTGTACGTGGCTGGCCTTCCGCGTGGCAAGTAGTGGGTGGGGGTGGGGACAGGCAGCCCCGATGTGCCGAACTGGACGATGCCATGCCGGCACAGCTCAGTATTTGTTGGGTTTTTTGTTTTTCGTCTCCGCTGCTGCCTGACTGCGTACTTCTGGGGCCACGTGGTGTCTGGCTGACGGGTCCGTCTGTAACTCTGGTGTTCGTATTTTTGAGGTTCTACTGTACTTAGTCCTGCCTTGAGTGCAGGGGACGGGACTAGGACGGTCCTTCCAGTGCTGTGATTCCATGGACAGGACTAATGTGAGTTTTTTAATCTGACTTCCTGCATTACACCAACAATATGATTTTATCCAGTAATTCCCGCAGTGGAGGGAATATTCATCCCTACTATTTAAGAGAACACAAAGGATCCACTGATCAAGTTCCAGATCTCCGCTGTATAGTGGTGTGCAGTGAGCCCCTGTGCAGCTGAGCTCCTTGGCAGTAGGAAGTATGCATCCCCTGTCAGTGCTCCTTAAATGCTACCCCACACCTTTGCAGTCCAAGACTAGGTCTTTTCAGAAAGAATGCTCTACAGCCACCAAGAAGGGGCCAGGCTTTACCTGAGAGCTAGGTTCATACCGAACCCTGCCTCTGTCAGACATCTTTTACTTCCAAAATCTTCTACTGGACGATTTAGGCATATAAGCATCACTCCTGATCCCTTCCCAGAACCCCACCCCTGAATGCTACATGCACGTAAAGCAAATGTTGACAGATTATCTGTTTTGGTCATGAGCCAGAAACATAGCTAATATTCTGACTCTGCAGCTCTCTCCAGAAAACCATGGCAAGAGAGTTTATTTGTAATGGGAAGAAATAATCTGCATTTTTAAAGTTCTTTGGGACAGTGATAAAAGTCATTTTAGACATGCAAAGTACTATGAACTTGGCACTCTCACACTTCGATGCTTCTGTAGGCTGTACTCATTGCACACACTGAGGGCTCCCGGCTGCCCTCCATTCCCCTCCCCCTCATGTGCCACCCTCCCATCCTCTCTGTTTCACAGATTCCCTGCAGCTGCTCACCCCTCTTTCATGTCACAGGCTCTGTCCCATGTTTCTTCATCTCCCCCAGGCTGGGGCTCTGTGTGCCCTCCGACCTTCCCCTACCACACAGAACTTCTGTATGCCTCCTCTCCCCAGACCAGGGTCCCCTTTTCTCCCCACCATTATTTCTTTTCTTTCTGTCTGAGAGACAAGTCATTGGGGGTGTCACCATTTTAAAATTATTTTGGGAAGATGATTGTTCAGCTTTGTAGTTGAGATTCCTCCAACATGGGAGTGACTGTTGAGTGTAGGACCTCTCTTCGTTCAGCCAGTTATTACTAGACAATGTTGCCTCCCCTAATTATCAAAGCTTTACTACTGAGTCACCTGTCTTTATTGGCAGTAACATTCTAATTAATATTTACTCCATTTAACTGTATGGTGATTGCCCAACCACTGTCTAACTCTTGCTTTGGTATAACTCGATTAAAGGGATGATAAACAATTTATTTCTGAATACTCCCTTGAGCCTGATCATGCAGTCCTTTTGGGAGAGGGATGCAGAGATCCAGCTTTATAAACCAGACTTCTCTGTCTTTTATTCCTGTAACACTAGAAATAATTTTGTTTTTTTAAACAGGAGAATAAACCATCCCTCATTCAGACTGGTCCAGAAGCAACCCTGCAGACCCACCTCCTTGTATTTGAGGCCGAGAAATCCAGAAAAGAAAACCGCGTTGTGTGTTTAGAAATGAGAAAGGAACTCTTTCCGAAGCCTACATACAAATGAACTTTTAAATTTGAGGAGACAGAATAAAAACTGGTCCCAGTTACCAGGGAAATTATGTCTTGTTTATACTAATCTGGAATATATATGGGGATGGGCATTACATAAAATCAAATTTTGCATACTACAAATCTGTAAAATGCAAAAGGTGTGTTTAATAGAATTTTCTATATCGTTTCATTAATTTTTTTAGATAAAGAAAAAATATTAAAAATCATCAGTATTTTTTTCTGTCTTGGTTTCCTTTAAAGGACACGAAGCTTATTCTTACAGCAGCACTTCACTTAACCCTTAAGTACACTCTGACCTGAGAAACCAGCAGTTAGGAGGTACAAAGGCAAAGGTTTTGACAGCATGGAAGTGAGTTTAACTCAGCATTTCTCGCATGCGGCCACCAGGGGCTTTCTGTGCAGGCCTAACAGCCTCCTGGGCAGTGGTGGAGAGGCCAAAGCATCAGCCTCTCCCCTTCCCTCCCTGGTGCTCCTGCATGAGCCACCATGCACCGCCTCTGGAGACAGGTGGGGCACAATGCTGCAGGAGCCAGGTGAGTTCTTGACTCACCTGTGGGGTGGGCAGGGCACGTTGGGGCTTGGGCTTCAGCCCTGGGTGAGAACCTGGCCGCAGGGCTTCAGCTGCACGGCTCGAGCCCCGGGCTCTGACCCAGGCTCCGGCCACGTGACCTTGGCCCTGGGCGCTAACCCCTGGCTGTGCAGCAGCAAGTGCTGGCTCCGGGCTCTGGCACCGACCCCCAGCCCTCACCCCGCTCCCTAACCCCAGCCCCAGCCCCAGCCCCAGGGTGGTGGGTGTTGATCCACAGCTCCAGCTGCTCAGCAGCAGCCGCCACCAACCCTGGGCTCCAGCCGCTCGCTCTGGACCCTGGGGGTGCTGCCTCCCAGCTCCAGCCATATGGCAGCAGGGCTCACCATTCTCCCCGACGCCTCCCCGAACCCCCATTTATCGCCCCCAGCCCCCACTGCCTTCCCTGGTTCCACCTCTATCCCCCCCATTGCCCCAGACCCCTGCTGCCTCCCTCTCCAAACCCGGGGCTTGCTGAGAAAAGCGAAACAAAGAAACATGCAAGTATCACTTTTCACAGCACACTGACTAGCTACCTGGGAGGCTGTGAAAAGTGATACTTGGATGTTTGTTAATATCACTTTTCACAAACTCCCAGCTAGCTACTGAGTGTGCTGCGAAAAGCAATATTCAACACACAAATATAATTTTTCATATTATTTGTGAGTCTGAAAAAACCCTACATAAATAAATTACAAGGATTTGGACACGTGTCTGTGCATATTTATTTGTTTTTCCTACAGTTACGTATTTTAGGGAAAAGTGTCAGTGCGGCCACCAGCAAGAATTGGTGGGTCACAGTCCGAGGCCACCAAAAAATGTGTTCGGAGAACCCCTGGTTTAAATGTACTAATAGGCAAAATCCAAACCAGCCACGTCTGCCTGAACCTTTTCAGGCAGGACTTCAGGTATCACCCAAAAGATCTTATTTTTCTTTGGTTCCATGTATACATTTGCTCAGATTTTACTTCTCCATTAAAAATGTAACCAATTCCCAGCTGCCTGGCAAGTGAGAGCTGGCTGAGTTTCCATGGTTCTCCCCGCACCCTTATGGGTGTGCTGCCAAGGGAGCAACACACAGGCCGGCAATGAATCTCAAGTGCCTCTAACTTGCCTAGCTCTTCTCAGCCATTTCTCTTGCTGTGAGCTGCCCTCCTTTTGAGCCCCACCAACTTCCTCACATGCAGGAACAGCAGCAGATTGCCATCTTGGAGCAACAGCTGAGGAAGGCGACTTTTCTGTCAGCACTAGAGTGGTCTATTGTATTGTGCTCTTCTTAAATAAGCAGGATACTGTGATCGTCCAGTGAGCGTGTCTCAGCTTTGTTACGTCGAGTGCTTTAAAAGGGGTGATGCGCTGCACTGTGTGGGCTGAGAAAGATCTCATGTGCTCCCCATCATCAATTCTGAGATTTGCACTGATTGGCATTAAGGCTTTTGGGGTGATGGTTCTATGACTCAAACTCAGTGGCTTTGTTTGGTCTACCAGAGTCTGAGGTTGGTGATCTTCGGGGATGGTACAAGCCTTACCTAAGACATTTAAGCGAGTTAGAATGTGGATGGAAGACGATAGAATGAATGATGTGCGAGTTCCTCCCAGTAACAGGGATAGCCGTCTGCCTCTGAACATAGCTCAATTCTTATTGTGCTTAACACGCTGGAATATGAATGGCTGCTATGGGTGGCTGATAATCTATGAACATCATGTAGTAATTCCTGGATTTTTAAATTATTGTTTTAGCTGGATGCATGTATAATGTTTGATCAAATACTGTTCAGGGAGAAAGGTATAAAACCATCCAAGTATTTGCTATGTGTAGAGTGGTCATGTTCTGTGGGATACCTTCTGGAAGAACAGTAGTGTGGTTAAGTAATTCGTGTCACATTCTGTGCTGCACCCCTGCACCGAAAAAAAAGGATTTTCTGCCGCTTACACTATTTGCGGCTTCATTGGGTGAAAATAAAGAAGCAACAGTGGCCAGGTCTGAGTGTCCCTCCTCTAACAAAAATCTTGAAATAGTTCACTGTAAAATTAAAAACCAACTGTGGCTTGTCTTAAGTAATGGTAAGGTGACGTTTAGAAGGAAGCCTCCAGGTGCATCCTCACCTGTTCGTTGATCCAGCACAACTTCCTATACATTAGACTCTTACGACAGTCAGTAACGCTCTCTCTACCTCCACAATAGAGCTATTTAGAAAACGGGAGTTTGTATTCAGTTTGTATGAATGCTGTAATCTGGAAGGCCCAGATCCACAAAGGTATTTTGGTTCTTGACTTCCATTGGATTTCAGTGGAATTTAGGAGCCTAAATTTTACCTTGGTGGATCTGGGCCTAAGTAATTGCAGTTTGACAAACATGAAAGATTAATAATTTGTGCAAAATAAGAAGTAATTAACAAATGAGGACCATCAGAATCCTTGTCTGAGGACTCCTAAAGCTTCAAAATACTTTAATGTTCTTATGAAATAATTCACATCCACTATCATTTCTTTGCCTGTAGTAAATATATTGTCCTTTTTAGTTGGCACACTGTTCTGATCGTTGTCTGTACAGTAATCTTTTGAGTAATTCAGTTCAGTTAGATGTTATCAGTCACCTGGAGTTTCTTCCTCAGAAGCTGTTATGGCTTTCAAGGCTCTTCTCTTCCTTAATCTTTCTGCATTTGTGATTGTCATAGGATGCAATGGGAAAAATCCAGAAAGACCTGAAAGAAAGATTATTGATATTTATAGCTGGAGTTGCAATATGACTGTTCTAGACGCACAGATTCAAAGGCGAGAAGGGAGCGCTGTGATTATCTCGTCTGACATCCTATATAACACATGTTATAGAACTTCCCCAAAATAATTCTTAGCATATATATTTCAGAAAAACATCCAATCTCAAGTTAAATTGTCAGTGATGGAGAATTCACGACAACCCTGGGTCAACTGTTCCAATAGTTCATGAGACTTTTAAGAAGTGAGAGTAATTGTCTGTCTCACTAACCCTCTAGTGGCTTGAAGTGCCTTTTACTGCTGTCTTGGCCAGCTCAGCGTCTCCATAAATGAAAAAAGAACAGGAGTACTTGTGACACCTTAGAGACTAACAAATTATAGCTCATCTAAATTAGCCTCTTACAGTTTGTATGGCAACTCCCACCTTTTCATGATTCTCTGTATGTGTATATATCTTCTTACTGTATGTTCCATTCTATTCATCTGATGAAGTGAGCTGTAGCCCACAAAAGCTTATGCTTAATTGAATTTGTTAGTCTCTAAGGTGCCGCAAGTCCTCCCGTTCTTTTTCCGGATACAGACTAACAAGGCTGCTACTCTGAAACATCCCATTTCCTGTGGCCAAAAGAAGGGTGATTGCATATATACATATTCTCAAGGATTCATGCAAAGAAATGAAGAAAGAGTCTTTGGTACTCCAAGTATGCAGAGGATCACCAAGGAAAACCTATTGTCTTTTAAGAGAAATAAGCAAAAATCTTGGGAGACAGGCCAGTCCTTGCCTACAGACAGCCCCGCAACCTGAAGCAAATACTCACCAACAACCACATACCACACAACAGAACCACTAACCCAGGAACTTATCCTTGTAACAAAGCCCGTTCCCAATTGTGCCCACATATCTATTCAGGGGACACCATCACAGGGCCTAATAACATCAGCCACACTATCAGAGGCTCGTTCACCTGCACATCCACCAATGTGATATATGCCATCATGTGCCAGCAATGCCCCTCTGCCATTTACATTGGTCAAACTGGACAGTCTCTACATAAAAGAATAAATGGACACAAATCAGTTGTCAAGAATTATAACATTCATAAACCAGTCGGAGAACACTTCAATCTCTCTGGTCACGCAATCACAGACATGAAGGTCGCTATCTTAAAACAAACAAACTTCAAATCCAGACTCCAGCGAGAAACTGCTGAATTGGAATTCATTTGCAAATTGGATACTATTAATTTAGGCTTAAATAGAGACTGGGAGTGGCTAAGTCATTATGCAAGGTAGCCTATTTCCCCTTGTTTTTTCCTACCCCCCCCCCCCCCCCCCCAGATGTTCTGGTTTAACTTGGATTTAAACTTGGAGAGTGGTCAGTTTGGATGAGCTATTACCAGCAGGAGAGTGAGTTTGTGTGTGTATGGGGGTGGGGAGGGTGTGAGAAAACCTGGATTTGTGCTGGAAATGGCCCACCTTGATTATCATGCACATTGTAGGGAGAGTGGTCACTTTGGATGAGCTATTACCAGCAGGATAGTGAGTTTGTGTGTGTGGTTTTTGGGAGGAGGGTGAGGGGGTGAGAGAACCTGGATTTGTGCAGGAAATGGCCCAACTTGATTATCATGCACATTGTGTAAAGAGTTGTCACTTTGGATGGGCTATCACCAGCAGGAGAGTGAATTTGTGGTGGGGGGTGGAGGGTGAGAAAACCTGGATTTGTGCTGGAAATGGCCCAACCTGATGATCACTTTAGATAAGCTATTACCAGCAGGACAGTGGGGTGGGAGGAGGTATTGTTTCATATTCTCTGTGTGTATATAAAGTCTGCTGCAGTTTCCACGGTATGCATCCGATGAAGTGAGCTGTAGCTCACGAAAGCTCATGCTCAAATAAATTGGTTAGTCTCTAAGGTGCCACAAGTACTCCTTTTCTTTTTGCGAATACAGACTAACACGGCTGTTACTCTGAAGCAAATAGCTGAGATTGGAAAACACACTGAGTTACCTAGAAGTTTTTCAACCGGTTTTGTGACATGTGCTCCACAACCAATCCAGTGTTTGATTCTCTCGATGTTCAAGCCAACAAGCTTTTCATTGTGGCTATTTGGGAGTGGGTCATAGCAGCCCACTTGCTCCAAATACTTGCTGCCCCGTGCTCGCTTGTTATATGCGGCCACTATACGGAAGAAGGGTCTGTTGGCACAACCACCAAGAGCCAATCGGATAGCTACGTGTCCTCCATGATCATTTTTCATAAGGAGATGAGCTGAAGGGAAGATCAACAGGTGTCACAATAGATTTGATTATAAACAGATGCGTATAGACGTCGAGCCAAAAAATTCCAAAGGCCTTAGAGAAAAGCTTGGTTTCATTTAAAAATCAAGAAAACTGCTGTAACCTTCCCTTACGCAGCAACAATAGATTATTCTTCATGATGGAATCGAAGTCTGTACCTTGCCAGGAGATTGAGGTCTTACAGCAATTTATTTACAATAAAGATGACAGATTTGCTCTACCAACCCTTAAGAGAGTTCAGCGGTGAAGGCTGCACATTCTCCACTAACTGTGATTGATTTAGAGGGATGCAGAAACTGGGGTCTGTCAGTACAACATGGTGTGCACGCACCCCTTAACAAGCCCTGTCTGCACTTACCAAGGTGCACCATGATGACCCTTGAAAGCACCTGAAAGAGGAAAAAGACCATGAAGGAATCCCCTGCCACTCCCAAACACAGAACAAGGGGCTAGCCCACTGCAGCTGTGCCGCTGTAAATGCTATAGGGTAGACATAGCCTGAGTTGACAGAGACGAGAACCTGAAAGTTATACACCGGACCCTCGCTAGAACACGTGTCTATATAACACAAATTCTGATAGAACGTGGTTGCGGATCCCAAATTTAGTAACCGTCATTAACTTTCATTGTAACGCGGTCCCCACTGTAACGCAGTACCCGCTAGAATGCGGGATTTGGCATGGATCCCAAATCCCACATTCTAGTGAGGGTCCAGTGTAGTTTGAAAATCCTGAGGGAAACATGGGAGTTTAGTTGCAAGCCCTGCCCTGGCGCCTGTAGACTCTGTCTCTCATGACCCATGTGCCATGGCGATCCTGGGAATGGAAGTTTCAAAGCACCTGCCCCCACTCCCACTTTTATGCTTTGGGGTTTAGGTAACTTTCAACCTCTTAGGAGCACAGGCAAAATGAAAAGATTTTTTTTTCCCCCTGGTAGCCCTGCTAGGCATCAGCCTCACTGCCGCACCCTGCCTGCTTTTCTGTTTCAATAGCTTTGTTGCTAGGGCAATGCCAACAAGTGCCACATGAGTACATAAAATCACTTGTCATTTTAAGGTAAGAATTCGTTTCCCCATTATATTGGTGTTCTGAGGATTTGGTATTATTTTATATATGTACGTTAAGGCTGTCAATCACAGTTATCTCACACGATTAACTCAAAAAAATCAATCGCAATTAATCACACTTATAACAATAGAATACCAATTGCAATTTATTATATATTTTTTGATACATTTTCAATACTGATTTCAATTACAACACAGAACACAAAGTGCAGAGTGCTCACTTTATATTATTATTATTTTTATTACAAATATATGCTCTGTAAAAATGATAAAACAAAAAAAATAGTATTTTTCAATTCACCTCATACAAGTACTGAAGTGCAAACTCTTTATTGTGAAAGTGTAACAAATGCAGTTGGGTTTTTTCTGATTGCATCACTGCACTCAAAAACAAAACAGTTTAAAACTTTAGCGCCTACAAGTCCACTCAGTCCTACTTCTTATTCTGCCAATCGCTAAGACAAAAGTTTGTTTACAACTGACAGGAGATACTGTTGCCTGCTTCTTATTTACAATGTCACCTGAAAGTGAGAACAGGCGTTCCCATGGCACTTTTGTAGCCGGCGTTGCAAGATATGCCAGATATGCTAAACATTCGTATGCCCCTTCATGCTTCGGCCACCATTCCAGAGGACATATTTCCATGCTGATGATGCTCGTTAAAAAAATAATACATCAATTAAATTTGTGACTGTACTCCTTGGGGGGAGAATTGTAGGTCTCCTGCTCTATTTTACCTGCATTCTGCATATGTTTCATGTTACTGCAGTCTTGGAAGATGACCCAGCACATATTCGTTTTAAGAACGCTTTCACAGCAGATTTGACAAAACGCAAAGAAGGTACCAATGTGAGATTTCTAAAAACAGCAACAGCGCTCGGCCCAAGGTTTAAGAATCTTTACAATTTTTTTGTTTTTTACAGAGCAAATATTTGTAATCAAAAATAAATATAAATTGAGGACTGTACACTTCGTATTGTGTTGTAATTAAAATTAATATATTTGAAAATGTAAGCATGCCAAATATTTTAAGTAAATGGTATTCTATTGTTGTACAACCGCACAGTTAATCGTGATTTTTTTTAATCGCTTGACAGCCCCAATATACGTGTGTGTGTGTGTCTATATGTACACACACTATGAAAACGACTTGATTGGGTTGCAGTAATTGTTATTCTTGGATATTAACTAGTTCAGGGACTCCTCAAATCTTGCTGCTAATTGCCCGCGGTTTAAGAAATAGCCGAGAACTCCCGGTTCACAGGACGTGTGTGCGGGTCTCTGTGTGTGTGTGGGGGTCTCTGGGTCTGTGTCGGGGGTGTGTGTGGGGGGGTCTCTGAGTCTGTGTGTGTGGGGGGGGTCTCTGGGTCTGTGTGGGGGGTCTCTGTCTCAGGGTCTCTGTGTGTGGGGGGGTCTCTGGGGTCTGTGTGTGTGTGGGGGGGGTCTCTGGGTCTGGGTGTGTGGGGGGTGTGTGTGGGGGGGTCTCTGGGTCTGTGTCGGGGTGTGTGGGGGGGTCTCGGTCTCTGGGTCTCTGTGTGTGTGTGGGGGTCTCTGGGTCTGTGTGGGGTGTGTGTGGGGGGGTCTCTGTCTCAGGGTCTCTGTGTGTGGGGGGGGGTCTCTGGGTCTGTGTGTGTGTGGGGGGGTCTCTGGGTCTGTGTGGAGGGTGTGTGTGGGGGGGGTCTCTGGGTCTGTGTGGGGGGTGTGTGTGTGGGGGGGTCTCTGGGTCTGTGTGGGGGGTGTGGGGGGGTCTCTGGGTCTGTGTGGGGGGTGTGGGGGGGGTGTCTGGGTCTCAGGGTCTCTGTGTGGGGGGTGTATGGGGGGGTCTCTGGATCTGTGTGGGGGGTGTGTGGGGGGGGTCTCAGGGTCTCTGTGTGGGGGGGTCTCTGGGTCTGTGTGGGGGGGTGTGGGGGGGGTCTCTGGGTCTGTGTGGGGGTGTGTGTGTGGGGGGGTCTCTGGGTCTGTGTGGGGGGTGTGTGGCGGGGTCTCTGTCTCAGGGTCTCTGTGTGGGGGGGTCTCTGGGTCTGTGTGGGGGGTCTGTGTGGGGGGGGTGTGTGTGGGGGGGTCTCTGGGTCTGTGTGGGGGTGTGTGTGGGGGGGTCTCTGTCTCAGGGTCTCTGTGTGGGGGGTGTGGGGGGGTCTCTGGGTCTGTGTGGGGTGTGTGTGGGGGGGTCTCTGTCTCAGGGTCTCTGTGGTGGGGGGGGTCTCTGGGTCTGTGTGGTGTGGGGGGGTCTCTGGGTCTGTGTGGGGTGTGTGGGGGGGGTCTCTGGGTCTGTGTGGGGGGTGTATGGGGGGTCTCTGGATCTGTGTGGGGGGTGTGTGGGGGGTCTCAGGGTCTCTGTGTGGGGGGGTCTCTGGGTCTGTGTGGGGGGTGTGGGGGGGTCTCTGGGTCTGTGTGGGGGGTGTGTGTGGGGGGGTCTCTGGGTCTGTGGGGGGTGTGTGTGGGGGGTCTCTGTCTCAGGGTCTCTGTGTGGGGGGGTCTCTGGGTCTGTGTGGGGGGTGTGTGGGGGGGTGTGTGTGGGGGGGTCTCTGGGTCTGTGTGGGGGGGTGTGTGGGGGGGGTCTCTGTCTCAGGGTCTCTGTGTGGGGGTGTGTGTGGGGGGGTCTCTGTCTCACGGTCTCTGTGTGGGGGGGTCTCGGTCTCTGGGTCTGTGTGGGGGGTGTGTGTGGCGGGGTCTCTCTGTGGGTCTCTGGGTGGGGTGGGGGGTCGGCAGGAAGTCGCTGTCTGGGGACTACTCCCGTCAGCCACCGCGCGGCCCCGGGCACGCTGGGAGACGCAGCGTGCACACGTACGTCACCCCGCAGCCTCCGCTCCCGCCCTGTCGCTGTCGCGCCGAGATGATGTCACAGCGCGCGACGCTCCCCCCACCTTCGGAACGGAACGGGCCGCGCGGCCGGGGCGGGGGGGCGAAGCCGGGCCCCGCGGGTGACCCTCCATTTCCCATCAGGCATCGCGGTGCACACGCCGTGGCCGCGGCCCGACCCGGCCGTCCCGCTCTCCGGGCGAGGCCCGCTCGGTGCTGGGCTCCCGGGGCTCCGCGCCCCCCAGCAGCGCTGCCCGCCGAGCGCCCCGGGGCCCGGCTGCCGGCCGCGGAACGGACTCGTCCGGCTGGCCGCAGCGCCACGGGGCGCCGGGGGGACAGCTCCCGTCCCGGTGCCCGGGGCCCCTTCGAGCGCCCCCGCCTGACCCCCGGACCCGGGACGGCCGCTGGGGGGCGGGGAGCCCGTTACTTCTTATTCCGGTCCAGATGCCTTGGTCGAGGCATCGTCAAGGTCCAGACTTCAGAGAAAACAATAAAAACTAGTAACAATCCTGATCGTAATAAAACAATTCCCTGCCATAGGTCTGGTGCTCTTGAACAGTCCCTGGGAGGAGCTCTTTAGTGTGGCAACCCCCTTAAGGTCACACTTTTTCCAATGAGGAAAGTCACTTGGCTTCACCGCCTCCTGACTCTGAATCTCAGAGCCTTCAACACCCCTGCTTCACATCAGCAAGTCCACCTGAGTTGGACACCCAAGGGAGACTTGCAGGCTCCCAGGGAGCCATGTACCCCACTTCCTTACCCTGGAGTGACTCTCAACCTGCACTGTAAAAGCAGGGGGGTTATTCCAGGGGCAGTCAACAGGCAGACCGTGGGCCAAGTCTGGACCACCAGCTGCTTTCCAGCAGATCCTGAAATCTTTTTATTATTTTATTATGATCAAGATTGTTATTATTTTGTATTATTTTCTCTGAAGTCTGGACCTTGACTATGCCTTGACCAAGAAATTTGGACCTTTATAAAAAATAATTGACTCTCCCTGTTTTTTGACATGTCTGGAACACAACGCAGACAGTGCTTAGTGAACACAGAGAACGGAAAGGTCCATCTGGGTCAGTCCCAGAGCCCTCTGTCCCCTCTGTCGTCCGAGCCCACAAGCTCCTCTCCTGCCTCCAGCTGCCCACACTTAGAACCCCAGCCAAGTCCTTTGTCCTCCAGCTGGGCACACTTGGCTGGCTTCCCATGGAGGGTGGGCCATCCATGGTCATTTATTGTTTGGTGCCAAATGTCCAGGCAATTGGAATGGCCATTGTCTTCTGGGACACTCCATGGGCCTGGGGCCCCAGGCAGCCAGCTGTCCCTCATGCCTGTATCTCTGGGTCTCTACGAGTAACACCTTTCCCCCCTCCCCTCACCTACTTAACCATGGGTAAGGCTAAGATTTTGTCAGGGATATTTTTAGTAAAAGTCAGGGCAGGTCACGGGCAATAAAGAAAAATTCACAGAAGCCCGTGACCTGTCCATGGGGAGTTCAGCTGCGGGGTCCCCACACCGCTCACAGTGGCTGGGCAGCTGTGGGTGTTAGGATATAGATATTCAGGCCTGTCTGTAAAGGCCTATACTCTAAGAATTTAGGTGTATTCCTATCACTTGGCTAGTTAGAGGTATAAAAGAAAGAATCAAAATCACTGTCTGCCAGTGTAAGGGCCTTCTCTTACTGTGACAGTCTGAGGCCCTGTTCTTAGGCTAAGGCCTTTGGCTAAGCGACAGAGGCAGCCATAAGCTGGGAAGTGAACGGTCACATCCTCACATTCCAAACTAGTCACATTGAAATAAGGTGCTATTGGGCTGTTAGGAATTTAATCCTGTCCTTATAGTGCCTATCACCTCCAGAGAAAGGGAAGTGCCTAGAAGCTGTAAAAGGAAATTGAGGTTGATAGTTTTCTGTCTGGTAAGAACTCACTTATCAATAGACACAGCTGGGAAACTCTTATGTCTTTACAGATGTAGTTGTGAAATCCTCACTTCTGTATTGTTTTGTCATTATAGTTCCCACTTTGCTATTGTTTATTGGCATGGTCTCTGTCTGGTTCTGTGATTGCTTCTGTCTGCTGTATAATTAATTTTGCTGGGTGTAAACTAATTAAGGTGGTGGGATATAATTGGTTAGCTAATCCATGTTAGGATTGGTTAGTTAAATTTTAGTAGAATGATTGGTTAATGTATAGCTAAGAATATTACTATATAAATTAGGGGCAAACAGGAAGTAAGTTGGGATTCGGAAATAAGGAAAAAGGAACTTGTATTTAGCTTGCTGGAAGTTCACCCCAATAAACATCGAATTGTTTGCACCTTCGGACTTCGGGTATTGTTGCTCTCTGTTCATGCGAGAAGAACCAGGGAAGTGGGAGAGTGAAGGAATAAGCTCTCTAACATCTTGGTGCCGTGACTCGGATACATCGCATTGGATAGGTGAGTGGCAGCCTGTAAGTCCCCCTCCCCAACAGTCCGCGCAGCTGCTTGGAGGGGGTATGGCGAACTCTCGTGATGGTAGTTGCGGGTTCTGGCAAGCTGGGGTAACGGATTTTTTGAACAAATGGATAAGGAAGAATCAGGGCCCATACCAGGTGCAGGGGTTCACCTGGGATGAGATTGAGAAGGAGATGGGAGAGGTTTTGGGAGACCCCAAGGGAAAGGAGTGTAGGAAAAAGGGAATGGTATTACAAGGTTTGTGTGCTGGGATGGCATACTGGGTAAAAAGGGAAGCTGATCTCCTCCAACACATTAAGGATTTGGAGGAGATTGTGGATCAGCAACGGATTTTAACAGAAAAATCTGTGTTAGCAGTAGAGGTAGCGGATTTGAAGGCACGGGATGCTGCACGGACAGAGGAGTCTTGTGAGGCAATCCGGAGAGAGAGGGACGAACTGCTGGGGAGAGTAGGAGACTTAGAGGAGGAATTGTATTATTGTAAACATGGGGGCAATGGATTTGGGGACCTCAAACCATCCGCCCCACTAATGGAACTGAAGGAGACACCTCCACCACCCTACCCTGAAAAAACACTGTACCCACCACTGCCGGTGGATGTTGTAAGCCGGCGATCCACAGTTACAGCCCCTGCGAGAGAGGCTACCCGGGAGGAACTGCAGGAGGCAGGAATAGTGGCCCCAGTTGCGGGGTGGGGGGACCATGCCCCACAAGTAGTAGAACAGGCAGAAATCCGCCCCTTGTCCCTGAAGGACCGGGAGGCAGTACTGGGCCGTTTGGGAAAGGTACCCCGGAATGATTGGGATCAGTTTGTGCTGTGGCTAGTGGAGGTGGGCAGAGAGATGGAGGGTCTAACTCGTGAGGACCAGGTGATCTTATGGCGTAGTCTTTTGGGACGAGGTACCTTAGGAATCGATGTGGCAGGAGTGGCACATCCATTTCTAATTCCCGGACAGGTGGCAAAACACTTGTTTGGGGTGTACTCTCGTACTGCGGGGATGAATAAGATGAAGCGAGTCCCTGGGGAAACAGGGCGGGATACACTTAATCGCATACAGGCCTGGGCACGGTGCTGGGTGGATCCCCTGGACGGTCCATGGGTGATGCCCCAGACAGGGGCACCGGGACCTGGTGGGGGTGTGGAGCAGGGCAGGGGTGTGGAATTGCTGGAGAAATGGTTGGAGCTGAGCAATCCGCAGTTCGTGGGGCATTTAAGGTTGCAGCACCCTGAACTTGCTCCCAATCAGCTACCCCAGTTTCTGGAACAGGCAGATGTGTGGAGGCAGATGCATCAGGGGGAAGAGCCAGTCCATGCTATTACTGCGGGGGATCAATACAAGGTGGAAAGGAGTGGGTCAGCCTGGAGAGGAGGAGGTAGAGGGAGAGTTCGTGGCTTTGGGAGGGTAGTCAGGGATGAGCAGGCAGCTATAGAGCAAGAGATCCAGAGACTGCAGGCTAAACTGACTACCCACGATCTTACCAGATCAGGGGGAAAGTGGTCCCGGAGGCCAAGGGACTGGGACTGCCTGAAATGCCAGACATACAATTTTGCATGGAGACAGGAATGTGTTCGGTGCCAGGACCCCCGGTCCCCCCATGAACCAGTGGGAGGGACAGAGGTGGGTACTGCAACTTAGGGGTGCCCTGGGAGGCGTCCTGTCCATGTTCTCAGTTTAGGACGGGATGCATCTGGTCGCCCCACGCTCCAGGGGGCAATCGAAGGGAGTCCCATGAGGGATTTTTTGATAGACACTGGAGCAGCCATCAGTTTAACCACATGGGGGCAGGGGAGACCCTCAGAAGGGACTGTGACAATTGTAGGGGCAACAGGAGGGGAGACACAGTTAACCCTGAGGAGGGGACAAATCAAAGGAATCTGGGGGGAAGGGGAGATTATGTGGGGTTGTAATGATATGCTTAATCTGTTGGGGGCAGGAGATTTACACAAACTGGGACTTGTACTGGATTTAGCCAATTGGGTGTGTTTACTGGGGCAAACACAGGACGGTCAGGGCTATACCATTCCCATGGGGATAGCCACTATGACCATTAAAGCGGCACATGCCCTCCCACCACCCCCGGCTGGGTGGGAACACATCCCTGTGTGGGCGAAGGATAACCTGGATTGTGGTAGGGGCAGCATGGAGGTACTGATGGAGGGAGGGGACCCTCCCCCACAGAAACAGTACCCTATTCCTCGGGAGGCATTGGCAGAGGTGGGGGCAACTATTGAGGAATTGGAACAGAGGGGACTGATTCGGGCAGTTGCATCCCCTTGTAATGCTGCTGTGTGGCCCGTGAGGAAGCCAAACGGTACCTGGCGCCTCACTGTGGATTACAGGGCACTAAATGCTCTGGCCAATTCGCCAGCCTCAGTGGTGGCAGCGTACCCTGAAATGTTGGCCCGTATTGGACCCCAATTCCGAATTTTCACTGTTTTGGACATAGCTAATGGATTTTGGTCTCTGCCACTAGCTACCTCGTGTCAGTATAAAACTGCATTCACATGGGAGGGCAGACAATTCTGCTGGACAGTCCTACCCCAGGGATATAGGGACTCCCCTGCAATTTTTCACAGATACATGAGACAGGCTCTGGAGGGGGTGGATTCAGCAAGGTGCATACAATATGTAGACGACCTGTTGCTAATGTCAGGGACAGAGGAAGAAGACAGGGAACTAACTGAGCAGGTCTTGCAAGCTTTGGCAAGAGCAGGATTGAAGGTCAATGGGAAAAAGGCTCAGATGGGACAGACAAGAGTGACCTACTTAGGAGTGGAAGTGTCTCAGATGGGAAGGGAAATCGATAAGGGACGGGTGCAACTGATCCAGTCCCTGCCACTGCCTACGGATGTTAAAAGCTTGCAAAGTTTTCTGGGTCTTACTGGATTTTGCAGGGATTTTGTGGCCAATTATGCAGAAATAGCCCAGCCTCTATTTGACCTAACCCGAGCCTCAACTTGGGAATGGTCAGAAGAGTGTACTGAGGCAGTGAGAGTGCTAAAGGAAAACCTGGCCAGTGCTCCAGTGCTGGCCTCCCCAGATGGGGAGAAATTCTTTTATCTGTATCCTTTGGTATCGGACACTACCATTGGTTGTGCATTAACACAGGAGTATGGAGCAAAGGACCGACCTGTGGCCTTTGCCTCTCGACTTTTGAGTGCTGTGGAATTGAAGTATGGATGGTGTGAAAAGGTGCTGTTGTGCTCCTACTGGGGGGTAGGGAAATTTAAATACCTTACGGGAATGCAGAAAGTAATAATCCGATCTCATCATGACCCCCTGCGGCTGTTAAACATGCACACTATCTTACAGGGACAAGTGAGTGGGCAGCGTATTGCTAAATGGTTGCTGGCTCTACAGGCAGAAAACATTAAAGCAGACGTGTTAAAGGAACCCATAGTCTGGGTAGCTGGATTACATCTGGCTGGCACCCCACACCAATGTGAAGCCAGCCCAGGTAAAACCCAACATCAGGTGTTTCGGGCAGCTAATCCCAATCAGGTAAAGGAGGGGACACTGGTATGGTTTTTGGATGGAAGTTGTAGCTATCAAGGGGGACGGAAAACTGCAGGCTTAGCTGTTGTGGGAATCAGAGGCAATGAGACAGTCAGCACCATTGGTTTCTCACTAGAAGCAAAGTCAGCTCAGGAGGCAGAACTGGCAGCCTTGCTAACAGCTTTAAATGAAGTGGATCCCAAATTTGATGCAGAATGTTGGGTGGTGGTAGATTCAGATTATGTATTTCGTGGTGCCACATTAATGCTGAGATGGTGGGCAGATAATCATTTCAGGGCGACAGACGGCTCCACAATCAAGCATGCTACCTGGTGGAAGCGAGTGGAGGAGCTGAGTCACTGTTTTACACGGATCAATGTGGTGAAGGTAAAGGCACACAAGAAAACAGGACCCCTAAGCAAAGGGAATAATCTGGCTGATGTAGAGGCCAAGCGGGCTGCAACAGAGGCACCCCCATGGCCCTGGGAGCCAGAAGAGAGTGTGCCTGTAGCAGTGTTAACAAGAAGCGGGGTGGATACAGATCGGGGAGGGCGAATTCGAGAGTTGCAGGAATCTGACCCAGGACTGGAAGGCATCATGACACTTGGGGACAGGCATGTGCCAAAGGTGGAACTAATGGAAGGGATTTGGTGTGTCTTAACAACTGAGGGACCGGTCATGTTGTGCCCTCAGGGAAGTCGGACGGCTTTCTTAAGCTGGGTGCATGGAAGCTTGGCAGGGGGACACCCCGGGTTTGAGGAGGCACTGGGAACTTTAAAAAGGTTGTGCTGGTGGCCAGGAATGGCAGCTGATTTAAAATCACATCTGGAACGTTGTTTGGACTGTGCCAGGCACAGCCCACCTCACAAGGTGCTAAGGGGAGAATTAATGAGACAAGCCCCAAGGGGACCATGGGAAAGGATACAGATTGATTACACAGGACCCCTACCACCAGATCACAGGAAAAACCGATTCATGTTGGTGGTAGTGGATGCTTTCAGCCGGTGGGTGGAAGCTTTCCCCACAAAGTATCAAACTGCCCGGGTAACTGCTGCAATACTGGTAAATGAGGTATTCACTCGCTGGGGGGTCCCAAAGGTGATTGACTCAGACCAAGGAGCTGCTTTTCGATCAGATCTGTTAGGGGAGCTATCAGCCCTCACTGGAATCACACAGTTGTTCCATATTGCTTATCACCCCCAGGCTGCGGGGCAGGTGGAACGCATGAACCGCACCATTAAAAGTGAGCTAAGAAAGGGAGTGGAAATTGGAGGAAAAAACTGGTCACAGTTACTGCCCTTTGTCTTAATGAGAATAAGGGCCCGAGAATCAAAGGGCACAGGATTTTCTCCATATGAAGCTCTCATGGGAAGGCCTATGGAACGGTGGGAAAATCTACTTACCCCAGTACCTGGGGAAGTCACTACACACGGCCTAACACAAGAATGGATTTTAACTTTAATCGAACATGTAAAACAGGTACAGCAGGCAGTGGCCTGGCGAGACGAGCAAGGAGCAGCAAGAGTCAGAGCGTGGTATGACCTGCCTGGGGAGCGTAATCTACCCATGGTGGGAGATCTAGTGATGTACAAGATTCCAGGTCAACACCATCCATTCCCAGCTCCTAAATGGAAGGGCCCTTATCTTGTCCTTGACCAATTAGGGCCCAGTCTGCTATTACTGGGTACAGAGAATGGAGGACGGGAGTGGGTTCACTGCACGCAAATAAAAAGGTACAAACAGGGGATTGGGAAAGGGGACATGTAAATTGTTTTATGTGTGTATTACAGGTTAATTCGAAAAGGATGAAAATTCCCTGGCCCTGGATGGAACAATTACTAGTGCTAATCACAATTGTCACATTTACAAATTCTATTCAGATCCCACGATGTGAAGTGTCAAAAGGAGGAAACACATGGACGGCTACACATGCAACCTGTGGTAATAAAGCTAATGAAGATTATGAGAATCTCCCCATAGAAAGATGTACCACTAATACTCCAACAGGAATTTGGCAGTGTCGGTATATGGTTTATGGATTAGATGGGGGAATCCCAACCAGGTGGAGAATATCAAATTTATCAGGAAATATTGCATGGTACTCCCTGGGTGCTGCCATGATTAACGATAGTGAAAAACACAGTTACCCAGCTATGTGGTTTGTTACAGAGGGTCCAAAGAATATAACCCTCTGGTCCCCTGGAGCAAATGAACCCTCTTGGGAAAATAGGGCCCCACATTTAGGGTGTGATGTTACCATATGTAACCACAATGGTACTTCCATGGAAGATAATCCCCGAGGGTGTGATTGTTATGTACATATTACATTAGGCGTAAAATCCCCTTTGGGACGCTGGGTGTACGATGAGTTAACCATTTTACAGAATGTAACCCTACAGGTGATATGGATGTCAAGTTGGAAGAATCCAAATTTAAAGTGGCCACAGCCTGGAGCCAAGAATATTCCCCGACGAGCAAATGTCTGGGAGCCATTGTGGGAGCAGGTGCAGCCAGCACTTTTTAACGTGTCCTTTCATTCTATTACATGGGTGGTACGCCCCAAGGAATGGTGGGTGGACCAAATCCATCCTAATTGTAGTATGTACATAAAAGGATTGAAACAACAATTCAATGCATGGGTGAGGGGACACACCTGGAATCGTCGTCGGAAAAGGGGATTGTGGGCAGCTGGGAACACTATGCTGGGTACATGGAATCTGGGGGACGAGTGGGTAACCAAACAATTAGTAAGCCAAAATGTGAAATTTCAACAACAAATTAATGAATTAATGGCACAGCAACTATCAGCAGTTGCCACAGGGTGGAGGACAGCAGTAGAGGTAAACTTGCAGTTAACTCATTGGGCAGGGGACCTGGTGACATGGGTAGAAGATGGCTTCAGAAGACTAACATGGGGAGAACTGTGCATAGGTATTCAAAATGCTCAGTTAATAATGTTAATGGATATTATGAGAGATGCTTGGTCAGAACAATGGCCTTCAGTATTGAATCGGGAAGCTAGCCCATATTTATCCACAATTGCAAAAACATACCCATCTACCTGGAAAATAACATCCCCGACCTGTGGGGACAGTTCTTGTGTAGTTGTTACTATGATACCATGGGAAGGAAATGCAAAT